TCACATCAAATTAAAACCTTCTTGGGGCCGAGGTTGTAGCTCAATGACACCACACCTGCCTGACAAGCGTAAGGCCCTGAGTTTGATCCCTGGCAGGGGAATAAAATAAAATCTTCTGTACAACAAAAGAAATAACCAACAGACTGAAAAGACAACCTGCATAATGGAAAAGGAATTTTGCCAGCTCTTCTTCAGACAGAGAACTAATATCCAGAATATATAAAGAACTAAAAAATTAGGCCCCACCAAATAAAAGACCCAATCAAAAAATGGACAAGTGAAACGAATAGGCATTTATTAGAAGAAGTACAAGTAGCCAATGAATACATGAAGAAATGTTCACGATAAATGAGTAAAGAAAATATGCCATTTGCACACAGCAGAATACTATTCTGCCAGAAAGAAAGATAAGCTTGAGTCATTTGTAGGAAAATGGACACCCTAGCCTGGCGTGGTGGCACACACCTATAATCGCAGCACTCGGGAGGCTGAGGCAGGAGGATCACTGTGAGTTCAAGACCAGCCTGGGCTACATAGTGGGTTCCAGGTGAGTCTCAACTACCTAGTGAGACCCTGTCTCAAAAAACAAAACAAACAAAGACTAAGACTTAAAAAAAAAAGACAAGAGTTTTTATCAAGGTCATTGTCAAGAAAGCAAAAAGCCATCTAAAGAATGGGAGAAAATATTTGGAAACCATATATATATATATATATATATATATATATATATATAATAAGGGTTTTCTGTGCATAATATATAAACAACTGGTAGAACTCAGAGACAAAAAAAAACAAAACCCTAATTTACAAATTAGGAAAAGAACTTGAGTAGACATGTCTCCAGGTGGTCAACAAGCACGTGCAAAAATGTTCAATATAGTGAAAGTGACTCACAGAAATGCAAACCAGAGTCACTCTTTAACTACTGTGGTTGCTATATGGCCCCTGATAACCACAAGTCTACTGAATTTGCCTCTAGGGACTTTCCTACTCAGATATTTCATAGAAATTAAATTACTGTATATAAACATTCGCCAATTGTTTCTTGCTTATTTCCTGGTTTATCCATGTTGTAGCAGGCACCAGAACTTTACTTTTCATGGCTAATGTCCTTTACATGCCACATTTATTTCGATATAGATCTTCATCCATTATGAACATGAGGTTGTTTCCTCAAACTGCCTCTCCTGAAGAACGCTGCAGTGAGTATTACTGATCAGGAAACTACCTGAGTCCCTGTTTCTTTCTTTCTTTTCTTTTTTTTTTTTGTTACCGGGGATTGAACTCGGGTCCTTGTGCTTGCAAGGCAGGCCACCGAACCGCTGAGCTAAATCCCCGGCCCTTGAGGCCCTGTTTGGATTCTCCCAGCATGCACCTAGCAGCGGAGTGCTGGTCACGTGACCACACTGCATAGCCCTGTTTTCCACAGCAGCATTTCACGTCCCCTTAAGAAGGGTGTGAGAATTCCAGTTTCTCCACAGGTTCACTGATGCTACTTATTTAAACTTTTGTTAAAAGCTTGCATTGCAGCCGTAGTAGTTGCTGACTTGACTGTGGTCACTCCCTTCCTTACCCCCATGGAAACAGGCCGCATAAGACCCCTGCCAGGACAGGGTCCTCAGACACCCAGGAAGGAAGACGTAGGGCATGGGAGGGACCTGGCAGGTTTTGCGGGGTCAAGGGATGGAAATCAGGCTGCGTCTCCACCTCACACATAGGGACTTTGTTTGCTGAGTGTTGACTCTGTTATAGTGCTGCCCAGGGATCATGAGGAGTCCAGCTGTGGCGCCTGCCACATCGCTCTTGATTCTTCCAGGTGCCTGGAGAACCCATGCCTGGGAGGATCTGTAGAAGGTCCAGTCTGGACTACCCCATGGCAGCCCCACCAAGGACCCCCACAGGTCCTAAATCAGGGGGCCTTTATGGACACAGCTCACAGCCATTCTCCCTAGTGGTCATGCTGGGACTTCTGAGCCCTGTGTGTCCAGCCACCCCGCCAAGAACCTTCCTTCCGCAGTGATGTGCACCCTGGCATTGGCCTGCATCACCTCCTCCAGTGCGGTTTCTCCCTGAGTCCCTGGTGCCGGACTGGAGGTTTCACCTTGAATCCTTTCTGAGGACTGGGGCTGGGCAGCTGCCTTGGTCTCTGGGATGGCCGGGAGCCCAGGAGCTTAGGGAAGGGCATGTGCGCCCTCTAGTGGACTCTGTGTGAAGCTCACATGGGACAATGGGCAGGTTCAGAAGAGGCCAGTGCAGATGGGGGAGGAGGGGCTAAGGTAGGTGGGAGACGGGAGGGACAGGATGGAGCAGGCTGAGAAGAGGCGCCAGGATGGGCTGGAGAAGGGTGCACAGCAGGGTTTTCTTTCCAGCGACGTTTGGGACTGATCATCCTTGTGAGGTTCTCTTGCGTTGTGGGGTGTTTAGCAACATCTGGGGGTTCTGCCCGTAAGTGCCAGTAGCACCCACTTCCCTCAGTGGTCACAATCAAAAGTATCTCCAGACACTGTCAGATGCCCCCAGATGGCAAAACCCACCCTGGCTCAGGCGCACTGATCCCCACTCATTTCCAGTGACAACTCGGCAGATGAAGTCCTGCCCCTCTTGGCAGGAGAATCAAGGCTAAGAGGGGCAGAGACTGACATCTGCAGTATCCGTGAAAATGCCTCATCACCAGTCAGTCACGAGTGTGGCTTGTCACTTCACACTGGACATGAAGCCCTGAGAAGAAGTGAGCAGTTTCCCCTCTGCACCCCCAGGCCTCCGAACGGAATGCTCCATCCTGCGGCAGGAGTACCTGAGGCCACAAGACCGACTCCAGGCCTAACAGGCAGCCTCCCTGTCTACTGGGACCGGCTGCAGGGACAGCACCACCCAGGGCCACATGTTCACCTGCAGGTGAAATACCCAGGGCCTCCAGCTCTCCCCGGTTGGTCCACAGAGGCAGACACTCACTGGGCCGTCGTCCACTTGGGACACCCACCTGCCACCCCCAGACTCCCAAGTCAGGCTGTCCCGGCCCCTCGTGGTCCTGGCTGTCTCTCCCTGTGAGGAGCTGCTGCCACCACCCCCATGGGGCACACATGCACACACGCACACACACACACACACACACACACACACACAGGGCCACCTTCTCCTGCTCCAGCTCACAGGTGAGCCAAGCTCCCTGATTCCAGACAATAAACGAGAAAATAAATATTGACTGAGGCCAACAGAGATACAGCTGCAAGGAAGAACAAAGGGTAGGATACCAACCACCTCCCCAGCGAGGTTGTCTCCCAACACATCACCTGCCCATCCGCACGAAACTCACGTCCGTCGACCCGTGTACAGTTTCGTGGAGAGTCTCGATTCTTCCACGGGAGGCAACTCGAACTTTAGCACAACCTCCCAGCAAAGGCACGGATGATATCCCAGAGACTTCAAGTTCCTAAAAATGTCTTCAGATTATAGATGGTGAGGAAGGGACCACCCCGAGTAAGAACTACTGGAGGAGCTGAGGATGGAGCTCAGTACCAGGTGCTTACCCAGCATGGCTTGAGTTCACGGCACTGCCGATGAGTACAGTTGCATACAATTTCAATGTCATTAGGGAGGCCTAGCCAGCCCAGCCCTCGGTTCACTTCAAAAATAAAAATCGGACCATCAGAGACGGGCATGGTGCCATGGGCAGTAGATCCAGCTACTCTGCAGCCTGATGGGGCGGGGGTTATCACTTCAAACCGGAAGTTTGAGACCAGGCCACAGAGCGTGACCTCACTCTTTCATAAATCAATCCACCCACCTACAGCTTTTAACAAAAATGTGACTCAGAATAGGCTATGAATCTTACGCAGAGAAGCAAGATTAGATATTGACCCTTCCCTATTTGAAAACTTCTTACAATAGGACCGTGATCTAAACGACCCGGCACAGATTCACACATAGATCAAGGCACTGGAACCGAGCGAGGAGAATGAGCCCTGACAGTATTGCTCGTCTGCTCTCTGGCAGTGTGCCAAAATACCTTACCGGGGGAAAGAAGCGCTTTTAATAACTAGTGAGAGCCAGTTCACACTATTATGTGGAGCCTGGTCCACATCCCTGGCCGCAGGTCTCCTCCTGACCTCGAGGGGGCGCTATCAGAATACTTAGTCAACATTCATAGTTCCTAAAATAAGAATTCAGATTAGGCTCCCTTGCAGATGCAGCCTGATTTCCAACCTTTGCCCCCACAGACCCTTCTGGGTCCCTCCCACCTGCTTGCTTTGTACTCCCCATGCCTCCTGGAACTTTGAGGACCCTGCTCAGCCGGGAGTCTACATAGCCTGCTCTTTCCTGACATCACCCTTGCAGTACGAGAAGGGTGAGCACAGGAGTCAGCTAGGCAGGGGGACAGAGGCCAAGCAATACAGGCAGGAAGGATATGGGCCACAGCTTAGCAAAGGCAGGCTGGGGGGGGGTCCCTGAAAACTGTCACCAAGGACAGTGTTGCCCAAAGCCACTCAATCTCCCACCGAACCTCTTCCTTCCTAAGACCTGCAGGTCATAACCCCGCCCATCCTGGCCGAAACTCCTTCTGAGACATCTGATCAGAGACCAGGCTGGAGACACAGAGACACAGGCCAAGTCCCCCTCAGTAGTCACTACTCAGGCGAGACCCTCTCTGTACCCTAGAGCCATCTCTATCACCTTCCTCCGGGGAGTAGAATCTACCTTCACACACACACACACACACACACACACGAAAGACTGAGTGCCTCACTAGGTTTCTGGGTCACAAAGGGAAAGGTGCCCCGGATTGGGAACCCCGGGTCCTCCCTGCGGTGTTGACAGCCCAAGGCCAGGACAGTGCAGAGGCCGCTGAGGGGACAGCCAGTCCTTCTCTTAGGTGACAGAGTCCCCGACCGCCTGTCCTCCAAGTGTGGTCTGCGGTGGTGACAGGTAATACAGAAAAGGGGGAAGAAACACAGAAGGCGGGACTGAGGGGGGGGAGGAGCCCTAGACAGACTCCGCCCCCAGGTCACATGACTCGGGGAGTGCTCCTGCCCTGGGAGAGGCTCAGCTCAGAGGGAGAGAGGACAGCAGAGCCCACGGCCTGAGCAGCCCTGCTTGGGGAGCTGAAGATCTTCTCCACAGAGGGAGGACGGAGCAGGCAGCAGAGACCATGGAGACCCGCTCAGCCACTTCCCACAGAGGACTCCTTCCTTGGCAGGGGCTCCTGCTCGCAGGTGAGCGGGACATGGCCTGGGAGGATATAAGGGAGGATGAACACTTAGGACTGGGTCCCCTGAGGAGGACAAGACTCAGCGAGTGGACCCAGGTTTCTGTTCGGAGCACGAGGGATGAGGACACAAAAGAGGAACAGAAGGCTGAGAAACTGGAAACTCTCGGCAAATGGGAACTGATAAAGCAGAAGGAAATGGTCCACTTTTCTGTGTTACACATGAATCATCACTGGCCGCTATGTGTGTATCGGGGGACAGGGGTTCACTGTGTAGCTCAGGCTGGTCTTTCACTCACTTTGAAGCCCAGGCTGGCCTCGAACCTGAGGCAATCCTCCTACCTCAAGTCCTGAGTGCTGGGATTTGGGAGGTGCACCACCACGCCCAGCTGGCCACTAGACTTTCTTTCATTGGTACATTTTAGGTATACAATATAATGACATTCATCATTGGAAATTTGTACCTTTACATAATCTACCTTTTTTTGTTGTTGTTGGCCACTAGATATTGAAAATGGAGGATAAAAACTGTCAGGGTGACTCTCCAAAGAACACACAACCAGGGCAGTCCCACTGTCCTTACTCATCACCACCACCAGAAAGAATCTGGCAGATAAGCCCTGGACAGGCAGGGCTCCGGGAGCCTCTCTCCTTCGTCCACAGGGGTCTCAGCCTGGGCCAGGCACCAGGCTCTAACCGAGAGCAGACGGGTCCCTGTCCTCCAGGAGCTCCGTCCCAGGGGCAGGAAGGCAGATCAGCAGGGACATCTAGAAGGGGAAGGCAGGTGCTGGCAAGAGCCACAGAGGGCGGAAAGCAGGAAAGGTGGCAAAGGGAAGCCCAGGCTGTATGTGTGGGGTGCTCAGGAGGGCGTCTGCCAGGCTGCCCTGCATGTGAGCAGGACCTGAGCGCTGCCAGCAGGGAGCCACAGACACCCACGGAGGAGGGTCCCAAACAGAGGACAGGGACAGGTGCAGGGGCACTGAAGGGGTGAGGTCCTGCTGCTGACCTCACCTAGGAAGATTTACACCCGCAGAAACACGCACACGCACACACATACACGCACAGCGTACCACTACGCCTACACATCTTCTCGGGACTCAGGGCATCCCATACTGATGAATTTCTCTCTCTTCCAGCCTCACTTTTAACCTTCTGGAACCCACCCACCACTGCCCAAATGACTATTGATTCGGTGCCTAGCGATGCTGCTGAAGGGGGAGATGTTCTTCTACTTGTCCGCAATCTATCAGCCAATAGTATTGCCTATAGCTGGTTCAAAGGGGAAACTGTTACCTCCAACAATCAGATTGCAGCATATTTGGTAGCTGATGGAACAACTACACAGGGGCCTGCATACAGCCATCGAGAGACAATATACCCCAATGGATCCCTGCTGTTCCGGAACGTGATTCTAGGGGACACAGGAGTGTACACCCTACAAGTTACGCAACCTAATTTCCTGACTGAAATAGCATCTGGACAGTTCCGAGTACACCGTAAGTTACCCTCAATGACCTCGGGGTGCTGGATGGGGTGATTTCTGCTTCACACACAGAAAGGTCAGGCCCGGACTGCGCCCCACCCTGGCACATGATGTCCCCTTGCTGGGCTTTGAGCGTGTCGTGCGGGACACATACAGAGGAGGTGAAGTTCAGTAGATTGGAATCCTCTACCTGAACCCACCCGGCAGAGGGAAGGATAGGTGGACGGGGTAACTCGACCCAGGGAGGTCATCTCCGTCCAGCCCCCAAGCTCCTTCCTAGTTACATGGCCCCGAGAGCGACCCTGAGGACCTTGGTCGGGGCCTGACCTGGGGGACCCTGGGGATCCCCACACAGAAGCTCAGCCCCAGGCAGCCCCTGCTTCTGTCCCAAGCTCCTGACTCCAAGTGATCCAGGAGAGCTTGTTCCCGGGGTTAGAACTGACCCACTGTTTAGGGATGATGGAACCACGAGTGATTGGTTTTTGTGCCTCTCATAGTCCCTGGTGCTGGTCACCGGCCAGTGCACGACCCCAAGAACGACATCTGGGTCAGGGCACTGGGCAGTTCTTTCTCCTGACACTTGGCATAGATAGCACAGAGAGACAGGTGCCAACCTGGCTGACTTATGGGACTCCAGGGGAAGGTCGGTGTGCCCAAGGGGGACAGAGGCGTGCCCCACGTGTGTGTAAATCCAGGACTCTCCTCTCTACCCTGGAAATTTCTTAGATGTGAGAACCAGGGGCCAGGTATTGAGTCATGGTTGTTGTTCTTCTTGTTGGTACCGGGGATTGAACTCAGGGCCTTGCATTTGCAAGGCAGGCGCAGCACCACTGAGCTAAATCCCCGCCCTGATTCATGTTTTTTAAATCTTCAGCCTCACCAGTGAGAGAGAGTAAGCTTGGAGCAGAGAGATCAAACCTAGAATGAGTCAGGTTTTACTGCGGAATTGAGCCACCTCCTTCTGCAGAATGCGCTTGCCTCCTTTCTCAGGCAGCTGATCCACAGCCTCCCTCACTGGACTTGAGCTCCTTTGTTTCCTGAGGCATTGAGGGTCACTTTCCCTGAAGCACAAGAGAGATGGCTTTGGGAGCTCTGTCTCTCTCTCCCCACTGCCTGAAGCCAGCGCCCAATTTACAGCCGTTTCAGTGGCTTTGTGATGCACGAGGGAAGTGTGAGTAGTGAGTGATGAACAGATGACCCAGAACCCCTCCCGAGACTGGGATGTGCCTGCAGCCTCCTGGAAGGTTCTAGCCACAGTCGCTCCCTGTCCTACTTAGAGGGCAAGACCCTAGTTCTCTCTCTGTGAGCACCTGCTCTTAAGGACACCCCAGGAGCCTCCGCCATGATGACCCTGGGATGGCTGGGCTTGAGAAGGGCTTCCAGAAGTGTTTTGGTTTGGTTTTGAGGCTGCTGTGGGGCTCTGGTGTCTTGAAGTCCCTGAAACCCCACTGCTCACTGCCATGGGCATTGCTGTCCCTCTCTGTTCCTTCCCTGCCTGTCATCTTCCTCCTGGTCATTTCGGGCAGGACAGCCCTGCCTTGCATTGCTTGCTGAACCCTCTCTTCCCAGATTTATGGTGCATGGTCCTGCTTCCTCTTGCTAACACCGGGGCCAGGCCCAGCCTCCTGGACAGCAGTAAAGGCCGCAGAAATCAGTCCCAGCTGCCGGCCCTTTTCAGCTGTCCTGCGACAGTGTCCCCCATTGTGAATGAGCCTTTACTGTGTCCTGGTCCCGGGCTCTGTCCTTCCATACTGCCGGTGGATAGAATAGGCCACGGGATAAGTCTCAGCTAGAGCATCTCCTCCATCTACAGTGACTCAGCCAGGGCACCAGAAGCAGGACAGACCTGCAAGGCCCAGAGCCCCAGGCTTGTTCCACCCACTTGACCCCTGACTCCATCCCGCTCCCCACGTGGGGCTCACAGTCCTTCAGAGGTTCCCCCACCTTCCCTGAGAGAAAGCTGGCCTGACAAGCACTCTCTGAGGGGCTTACTGCTCACAGTTGGGTCCCCATGATGACACCATCGTGACAAGGTGGGTCCTCCGACATGTGAGACGCGTTAGCCTTTGACATTTCAGTTAGACCCTGTCTGATCTGCAAGAATTTAATAAAACCCTCCTCGTGATTCCTGGGGTTGAAAGAAAAGACAGGAAGAAGTTTTCATGCCTAGTTGGGCTCCTCCCCAGTTTACCTCATTCTCAGCAGCCAAGTCTATGGGAACATAGACTTCTAAATTTACTAACACGATGCATGGCATCTTGGAATTAGGTATCATCCCTCCTTTTACCTCAGACATTCCCCTCTGTCAAGTTCTGACCTCCCAGCAGGACTCACAGGGCTCCTATTCAGGGAGTGGGTGATTTCAATGACTTCAGGACCTATCTCTGATTCACATGTGACCCTGAAAGTCTTCAGAGCTTGGTCTGAGACCTTATGGCTCTCCCTAGAGAAATATTCCTGTCAGGAATTGGATTAATGACAATTTCCCACAGAGAAGAAATTTAACATCTCAAATTGCTATCCTAAACCTCACAACTGGTCCGTACAGGTCAGATTCTCAAAAGATCCACATGGTCCTCATCTTCCCCCTGCCATGGGAAGAGGGACATTAAGGGCCAAGGACAAGAAGTGACTCGGCTCTAAAGTCTGCCTGTCCCCTCACACTCTCCTAGATCATTCGTTAGACTCACGCCCGTGTGAGTCACCATCAAACACCTGAGCATAGTCAACCCACGTTATGGCCTCGGCTGGCCACTGGGCTGAAGGCCAGGTGTTGGTCCAGGTCCCCTGCAGCCAACCACCCTCAGGCCAGGCTGTGGCATCTTCTCTAGGCACAATGGAGGGTCCCACTGTGGCCCATCTCTGGGACAGCCCCACAGAACAAAGCCTCAGAGGAAACAAGCTAGGCTGAGCAGTGGAGGTCCCTGCAGCCAGAGGGACTCAGCACCCACATGGCCCAAGGCAAACCAGGTGGGGCTGGCCAGTGAGGGCCAGGAGAGGCCCTAGGGGTCTATAGGTGACCACATACCGTAGCTTAGCTCACACATGAAAAAGCCTATGTTTTTTCCAGACAAATTCCAGGTGGCCTCACGTCCTCTGAGCACTCAGTCCTCATGCAGCTGCCTGTGAGATGCTCTCCTGCCTGGTTCCTTAAGGGCCCAGGTTGGCTGAGAGGCCAACTGTGGTGGAAAATGCCTTTGCCCCGATCAGAGGCGCCACACGGGGCAATCTTCTCTCTGTTTTCTGCACAGCGGCGCTACCCAAACCCTCCATCACAATCAGCGACTCCAACCCTGTGGAAGGAAAGGACTCTGTAGTGTTAATATGTGAACCTGAGACTCAGAACACAACCTACCAGTGGTGGATAAACGGTCAGAGACTTCAAGATGGTAATAGGCTGAACCTGTCCGATGATGGCAGGAGTCTCACTTTGTTCAATGTCACAAGAAATGACACAGGACCCTATGAGTGTGAAACCTGGAATCTAGTGAGTGGCAACCGAAGTGACCCAGTGACCCTGAACATTTCCTGTGAGTAATTTCTGTTCTACCGTGGTCCCAGCTCACACCCAAGAAACAGGGCCAGAGGTGGAGGCCAGGCCACTCAGTCCCTCTCCAAGTGCAGAAAACAGACCTTCACTCCTGGATATCTGGGCTGGCCGTACCGTCCCACCCCTGCCATCAGGCTGGCCTGACCTTCAGCCAAGAATGGGGTGGGGGGGCTTCTCCCTGCAGAGAGTTAACCACCTGTGATCGAAAAACGGGGATGGTTCAGGCTCACTGAACACAGAGAGATCTGACTGGGACTTTTTTCTGTGTATGTAGTCCTGGGGGTGGAACCCAGAGCCTTGTGCATGCTGGGCAGGTGCTCTACCCCTGAGCTACACCCTCTAACCTGGGTGGGACTTTTTTAAAAAGCAAGGCCGAGACACGGCTTAGTAGGACACTCAGCCTCAGGAGGACACTCAGTAGGACATCAGCCAGGAGCTTCCCCTGCCCTCCCATGACGTCACATGTGGCTTTATTCTGTTTCCCCCAGATGGCCCGGATGCCCCCAGCATAACGCCCACAGACTCATATTTCTATCCGGGGACAAACCTCAACCTCTCCTGCCATGCAACCTCTAACCCTCCTGCACAGTATTCTTGGTTTTTCAATGGGAATCACCTGCAATCCACGCAGGAGCTCTATCTCCCCAGCATCGCTGCAAATCATAGCGGATCTTATACCTGCAGCGTCCATAACCCCACCACTGGCCTCAATAGGACCACAACCAAGAATATTACAGTCATTGGTAAGTGGCTGCTGGGACATCAGCACCAAGCTCTGGGACAGCCTTTTGGTTGTCTGGAAATAGTGGGAAAGAGGTAAATTCCTAGCCTTTGTCCACAGACACAAGCAAACCTCCGTCCTCCCCTGAGCCTTCTGCCCCATCCCTGAGAGTCCTCCCCTCGCTTCCCTGATTCCTCGCGGCAGAGCTGGACCTCTGCCTGGAATGTGGAGAGGTGGTTCTCACAGCCCCAGAAAGCCCATGGAGTGCGAGGAGATTCACAGAGTGAGGGGAGGAGAGGTGTCTGAGGTCAAGCAGCTTCCTTCTGTCACTAACTCCTCCCTTCTGTCATCTCTGTTGTCTTTTACCTCCTCCATGAGCTACAGGAACCCACAGGGCTTTGAAATACCTTTGCGCTCTTTTTCCCCAAAGAGAGGAGGAAATCCCTCTTGGGCAGGGCACCAGCAGCTCAGAGCTTCGCCTCAGTCCTGTCCCATCTTGCCCAGTGACTATCTCTGCCCTTACTCTATCTGGGGCGGGGTGGGGCGGGACAGGTGGAAAAGGCATCTGGAAGACCTGTCCTCAGTCTGCTAACTCCTGTCCCCAGTGGGCAGCTGAGCCTTCTGGTGTCTGGTGCATGGCAATGAAAAAAAGTGTACCTTGGGGTTGTGTCCTGACTGAAGTCCCAGCCGTACGAGGCTGAGGCCACAACCACAGGTGTTGCGCCATGAAGAGTCTTAAGGGTCACACACTGAGTGACACAGGGAGCTTCCCCGTGGAGTCCCGGCATGGAAGGAAGGGCAGGGCCAAAGTCATATATTTGTAGAGAGAATTATGTCAGCCTTTCATTAACACTGTGACTATTTATCTTTCCTGTTTTCTTTCACTGTGGTATTTAATCCTCAGGCCAGGAAATAAAAGTCCTTTCAAACTGAGATGTTCTTCAGGTCAGAGGGGCCTCTCACCTTTTATTGTCACAGAAAGCACTAGCAAAACATTGTGCAACAGTCAGTGGGAGAGTGTCGTGGCTTTTCCTCACCATAGCCCACCCTGCCTTCTCCAGGGTGTTCTTTTATCTTGCTTTTTAAACCTCTTTCACTTGGCCCAAGCTCACTCTGCAGAGTCAGTTTCGCCCTCACTCTTCACTTTTAGTTTTTCAAGTACATTTTTTTAAAAAGTCAATGGGAAAAAAATTCAACCTTATGGTGAGATTTCAGGACACATGGGCTGACAACAGGTTCCCGATGTGAATCCTTTAGAGAGCGCCAGGGAACTTTAAGGGCCTCCCTGTGTGAACTGAGTTCAGAGGAAAATATAGGCCTCTCCTTACTGTCTCCTGAACCAAGACGTGCAGCCTCTATTGAGGGTCAGGGCTGCGCTCTGAGCCACCTTACAGAGCTCACTGCGGCCTAGAGTCTGCTGAATGTCTGAGGGATGAAGGCAGCCAGGCCCCAGGCCCGCTCTCAGTCATTTCCCTCCTCTGTCCACAGAGCCGGTGTCTCCACCCTCCATCCAAGCCACCAACACCACAGTGGCAGAAGAGGACTCTGTGGTCCTGACCTGCCTCACAGGTGACACCGGAGTCTCCATCCGGTGGGTCCGCGATGACCAGCCTCTGCGGCTCACAGACAGGATGACGCTGTCCCCGAACAGCAGCGTCCTCACCATAGACCCGGTCAGGAGGGAAGATGCTGGGGAATATCAGTGTGAGGTCTTCAACCCTGTCAGTTCCAGAAGAAGCAGCATTATCAGGCTGGAGGTGAAATGTGAGTGACTTTTCCATGCTGGGAAGGATTTCTTTACCAAGAGTATGCAAAATGGACAGGGAATATATATCAATGGATATACCAGTCAGTAAACACTTGCAAAGTATCAAGAGCTTAGGGTCTGAATCAAATATATAGTCAACCCTCAATATCCACAGGGAGCTGGTGTAGGAGCCCCACAGATGCCGCTATCTGTGGATACTGTAATGCCTTGTATAAAATGGTGTAGCATTCACATACGACTGTGCAAATTCTCCTCCTTACGTTTGTTTGTTTGTTTGTTTGTTTACAATACTGGGCATTACGCCAAGGGCCTTCATACTGAGCTACATCCCTACCCCTTTTTTTATTTAAATTTTGAGACAGAGTCTCATTACTTTACAAAGTTGCCAGTGCTGGGCTCCAACTTGTGATTCTCCTGCCTCAGCCTCCCAGAGTGCTGGGACAACAGACATAATTCACCATGTTCAGCTCTCCCATATACTTTAAATCATCTCTAAATTACTTTGAAAATACAATATAAATAATTATTGGGTGGGGGATTTAACTCAGTGGTGCCGTGCCTGCCTGGCAAGTGCAAGGTCCTGAGTTCACTTCCTGGTACCAGAAACAAAAAAAACAGAAAGCATTCTTGTGCTGTATTATTTAAGAAATAACGACAAGGAAAATGTCTGTACATTTTCCATGTGGACCCAATTTTTTTCTGAATAGTTTCAAACTTTAGTTGGTTAAACCCATGTATGGCAGAAAGCCAACTGTACTGAGTTTTTTTTATCTTGAATCTGGCATTTACTGTGCGACCTTGGGTAAGATTATTTTTTGGTCTCTTTTTCTGTTGTTTCTTTGCCGTGTGGTAAAATATACATAACATTTATTATTTTAGCCATTTTGAAGTCCACAGTTCAGTGACACTGAGTATATTCGTATTGTTATGTAATATCACCACTACCCATTTCCAGAGCTTTTTCATCTTACTACACTAAAACTTTACATCCATTAAACAGTAACTCCCCGGTAACCACCATTATTTGTGTGTGTTGGTATTTGTCTTCTACACTTTTCACAGTAGGGACATTATACAATATTTGTTCTTTTGTATCTGGTTTAATTCACTTGGCATAACGTCGTCAAGGTTTATTCATTTTGTAATATATGCCAGAATTTTGTTCCTTTACTTTTATTTTTTTAAGACAGTGACAGTCTATGGTATGGATGCACCTCTTTTATGGGTGAACCTGATTTTGCTTATTTATCCATCTATCAGTGGACCTCTAGGTTGTTTCCATGTTTGTTCTATTATTTGTAATGCGGCTACAAAGTGAATATGCCCATCCCTGTTCAAATTCCTGATTTCAGTTCTTTTAGGTGTGTACCCAGTTGTAGAATTACCAAATGATAAATTACTTGTTTAGTTTTTTGAGGAACTACTATCCTGTGTTTCACAGTGGCTGCCTGATTTTACATTCGCACTTAACCAGGCACACAAGTTCTGATTTCTCCACATCCTCAGAAAGACTTTTTATTATAGCTATTCTAATGGGTATGAAGTGGCTTTGATTTGCATTTCCCTAATGACTAGTGCTAGTGCATATCTTTTCATATGCTTACTGGCCATTTTTATATCTTCTCTGAAGAAATGGCTATTCAAGTCCTTTGCTATTTTTTTTGGTACCGGGAATCCAACTCTGGTCCTTGCATTTCCAAGGCAGGCAGAGGAACTACTGAGCCTAATCTCTGGCCCCCAATTTGCTTATTTTTAATGGATTGTTTGGGGTGCTTTTTTGTTGTTGAATTGCAGTATTGTTTTGCTGTTTTGTTTTTGGAGACAGGGTCTCACTACATAGTCCAGGCTGGCCTTGAACTCACTGGGATCCTCTGCCTCAGCCTCCCAAGTGCTAGGATTATAGATAGGCATGTGCTACCAAGCTCAACTGTAGTATTGTTTTTATATGTTCTGGACACTCACAGCTTGTCAGATATATTACTGGCAAATATTTTCTCCCATTTGGGAAGTGGTAATTTTACTTTCTTGATAATGTCCTTTATTATTATTATCATTAATTTTTAACTGACATAACTATACATTTATGTGATGTTGTTTACAATGTGATTTTTAACATTTATATATGGTGTAAAGTGATTGAATCAAGATAATTAATTTATCCATTATCTCTCTTACCCATCATTTCTATGGTAAGATATTTGAATATGCTGTCTTAGTACTTTGAAATATTACATTGTCATTGACTGTGGTCAACCTGCTGTGCAGTAGATCTCAAAACATATTCCTCTTGTCCATCTGAAACTTTGAACCTTTTGGCCAACTTCCCATTCCCTTCCTCCCCTATTTCCCGGTCTCCAGAACCCCTCATTCTGCTCTTTATTTCTATGAGTTCAATTCTTTTAGATTCCACATATGGGTGAGATCATGCAGCATTTCTCCTCCTGTGCCCAGCTCATTTCATTTCCCATAATAGTCTTCAGGTCTATCCACATGGTCAGAATCACAGAATATCCTTTTTTAAAGGATGAACAGTATTCCTTTTGCTTACATATGCCACATTTTCTTCGTCCCTTCACTATTGATGGAAGCTTAGTTTCAATATCATTGGGATAATGCTGCAGTTAACATAGGAGTTTGGTTATCTCTCCAAAAAATTATGTCAGATCCTTTGTACATATATCTGTCTTTCTTTTTGGTACCGGGGATTGAACTCGGGACCTTGCGCTTGTGAGGCAGGCAGCAGAACCACTGAGCTGAATCCCTGGCCCTGTACATATATCTAGAAGAGGAATTTCTGGATCACCGGTTGCTAATGTCCTTTCGTGCACAGAAGCTTTTCATTTTCATGAGGCTCAATATATTTTTGCGTAGTGTTGTTGCCTATGGTTTTGGTATCAGAGCCAAGAAATCACTGCCAAATCCAACATCATAAAGGTTTTCCCTGTGCTTTCTTCTAAGGATTTTAGCTGTTACGTTTAGGTATTCAATCCATTGGGAATTAATTTTTATATGTAATGTTAGGTAAAGGTTCACCGTCTTCCTTCTGCATGGATATACAGTTTTCTCAACATCTTGGTTGAAAAGACTATCTTTTCTGCATTGAACACTATTAGCACCCTTATCAAACCTCATCTGGCCACAGGGATGCAGTGGGATAGAAAGAATAGCTTCTACTATTCTATAGCACAGCAGGATAACTACGTCTGACTGCGCTTGATTCTGCATTTCAAAATTGGTAACAAAGACAATTTTGAATGTTCCCAACACTAAGAGCATCTGAGGTGAGGGATTTGCCATTTGCCCTGATCTGATTGTCACATATTAAATACATATATTAAAGTGCCACATCGTACCCATGCATATATGTTCATATTGTGTGGCAATTGAATTTTTAAAATATTTTAAAATCATTTGGCCATACAGGTGAGCATTCATTTATGAGCTTTTTATTCTGTTTCATTGACTGTATACCTTTTTTTATGCCAGTCACACACTGTTTTGATTCCTGTAGCTTTGTACTATAATTTTAAATCAGGAAGTGTGAATCCCCCAATTTAATTTTCATTTTCAAAGTTAATTTGAGTATTTGGAGGTCTCTCAAGATTATATATGAGTGTTAGGATAAATTTTTCTATTTCTGCAAAAAGTGTCCCTGGATTTTTTTTGTTTTATTATTAGAAGATGAAACCAGGGTTTTCACACCAAACTACATCCCAGCCACCCCCTCTTCTACCCCCTTTCTTTGGTCAGGGTCTCACTAAATTGTTGAGTTGGGCTCGAACTTGTGATCATCCTGCCTTAGCCTCCCAGAGTTCTGGGTTAATAGGCATACGCCATAAAAACCAGCTAAAAAATGTCGCTGGGAGCCGGGCATGGTGGCGCATGCCTGCCATCCCAGCACTCGGGAGGCTGAGGCAGGAGGATTGTTGTGAGTTTGAGACCAGCCTGGGCTACACAGTGAGTTCCCGGTCAGTCTCAACTACATAGTGAGACCCTGTCTCAAAAAACAAAAAACAAACAAACAAAAAAAGTCACTGGGACTTTGATAGGACTTGCACTGAATCTGTACCTCATTCAGGGTAGTATTGTCATCTTAACAACACTATGTCTTCCAATACATAAATGTGGGCCAGGTGTGGTAGCACACACGTTCACTTCTGAGGCTGAGGCAGGAGGAGGCCAACCTGAACTATATATATAGCAAGACCCTATCTCAAACAAACAAACAAACAAACAAAATCAAATAACTTTCCATTTGTGTCCTTTTAAATAATTTCTTTCAGCAATGTTTTGTAATTTTGTTGGCTACGAATCTTTCATCCTCTTGTTGAAACTGCTTGCAGTCCTGAGGGTTGAACCTCTCTGGACTGAGCTAGATCTCCAGCATTTTTGTTGTTGTTGTTGTTGGGTGGTTTTTTTGTCTTGTTTTGTTTTTGTTTTGACATAAAATTAGTGAGTTGCTGAGTTGTCCAGGCTAGACTTAAATTTATGATCCTGCTGCCTCAGACTTCCAGAGTGCTAGGTCTATAGGCGTACACTATCACAGCCAACTTGAAATTTACTTCGAAGTATTTTATCCTTTTCAATGCTCTTATACATGGAATTTTTTTTTAATTTTCTTTTATATTGTTCATCGTTAGTATATAGAAATACAGCTGATTTTTGCCTTTGATTTTGTTATTAGTCTATAAATGCTGAATTTGCTTATTAAGAGTTTTTTGTGGGATCTGCAGGATTTTCTACGTAGAAGTCCTTGTCATTTGGAAATGGAGACAAATTTACTTCTTTTTAATTTGAATACCTTTTATTTATTTTTCTTGCCTTGCTCGGGCTAGGATGTCTCATACTATATTGAATATTTCTTAGAGAAAAATCTTTTAATTTTTCATCATTGAGTCTGACATTAGCTGTGGATTTTTCATATATGTTGTTTTAGTTTTTCTTCTACTCCCAGTTTCACAGTCTAACAAATGAGTTAGGGATATAGAAAAACAATGAACAAGATTGAAAGGTAGTGGAAGGAGGGAAACAAAGCTTAGGGTGATTAGTAGGTTTGTTTTGTTTTGAACCCAAAGGGTGCTACATTCCCAATCTTTTTAATTTTTAAATTTTTAGACAAGGTCTTGCTAAGTTGCCAACATGGGCCTTGAACTTGCAATCTTCCTGCCTCAGCCTCCCTAGTAGCTGAGATTATATGTGTGTGTTATAGCAACTAGCCTAAACTTTTTGTTTTTTAAGGAAAGAAATTAATTTTTATCAAATGCTTTTACTGATTCAGATCTATTCATATTTTTTATTTCTTAATGGTTTTTTGTATTTGTAGGAGTTTATCCAGTCCATCTAGGTTAATCAATTGTTGACATAAATTTATCGCAGTACTCTTAAAATCCTTGTTATTCTAAAGAACTGATGATAATAACGTCTATTTCACTTTTTTTTTTTTTTTTTTTTTTTTTTTTTTTGGTACCGGGGATTGAACTTGGGTCCTTGCTCTTGCAAGGCAGGCCACCGAACCGCTGAGCTAAATCTGCGGCTCACTTTTAATGTTAGTAATTTGAATCTTCTTTTTTTTAAATCTAATTAAAAGCTGTCAGTTTTGTTAATCTGTTTTGAAGAACCAACTTCTAGTTTCATTGATTTTTCTCTGCTGTTTTTCTAGTCTCTGTTTGATTTATCTTCACCCTAAGCTTTATTTCCCTCCTTCCACTAGCTTTCAACGTTGTTCCTTCTTTTTCTATATCCCTAACTCATTTGTTAGACTGTGAAATTGAGATCTTTTTAAAATGTGAGCATTTACAGTTATGAGTACTTTGCCTATGATTCTTAATTTCTTTGAGCCTCATTTAACTCAACTGAAAATTGTCATTTAAGAGTTGGTAATAACCAGGCCGGGGATTTAGCTCAGTGGTTCCACTGCCTGCCTTGCAAGCACAAGGACCCAAGTTCGAGCCCCAGTACTAAAAAAAAAAAAAGAGAGAGAGAGTTGGTAATAACCAACCCTTCAGGAAAATGTCACAGGCAGAGAAAATGTTGCATAAATCTTACCTGCTATTACTCCTATTATTGTTATTATTATTGCTACTACTATTATGATTAGCCTTGAAGTCAGGCAGCTAGATCTGCCTCTTAGTAGTCATATGAAGTTAAGCTTTTTCAGCACTCTTAAGCCTCAGTTTGTCACCCATAAAGTGGAAATAATGTCTACCTGACAGAGGGAGCCTGGGAGAGACCTCAGACCACAGTGCAGATCTGATCTGTGTTCAGGAGAGAGAAAAGGAAGATTTAGACTCAGTGCAGTTAGGGCTGAGAGAGTTTGCACAAGACTGATGGAGGGTTCTTGAACCAGAATGTCCAAGCTGAGGAAAACTGTGTCCTGCAAAATCGGGCTTGTTTTTTAACCCTGTGGGGCTCATGATGTCTGTACAAAGGAGGCTATAAATTCTGAGTGCGCTAACCCAAGCCTGCTATCAAGTAAGTCCTCGCCACAGAGCGCTCATAGGCACATTCATGGCCGCCACCATGGGGATCCTGTGAGAAAAGATGCAACCACAAAACGATAGGAAGTTACAACGTACAAAAATAACAATCAGCCTTTCTCACATTTCCGAAGCCTTCAGACGACTGCAGAAAGGCCAGAATGGAAGGGAGGGAAGATAGATTAGCAGTGAATAGGAAAAAAAAATTACAAGGTCTGCCAGTCACCTCACAGTGACCTTTCCATGGAAAATATCTTTGTTGAAGGAATGGAGAGAGACTACTTCATGTTAGAATTGTGTCTCAGAGCACCCCGCTGTAAAGTGGTTTCACCTTCATCTCTTTTCTCTTTTCTTTCCATTCCAGATCCAGTAAGAGAAGATTCTGACCTCTCAGGTGGGGCCATTGCCGGCATTGTGGTTGCAGTTGTGGCCGGGGTGGCTCTGATAGGTGCCCTGGCGTATTTCCTGTTTTTCAGGAAGATCGGCCGGTATGGTGGCCTTTCCATTTCCTCCATTTCCTCCAAGGCTATCTGCCGTGCTTGGGAGAGGGAAAGGACCTTTATAGCTGTGTCTCTGGGCTGGATATCCTCTTTTCTTTCCTAAACTCCTGCTTCTCAGCACTAATTCCGGTGGGTCTTCACGCTCTGTCCTCACGCTTCTGTATCCCGCTGTCTCTTGGGCATGGTTATTCCTATCCCCGTAAAGCTTAAGGGAACAGCTCCAGTTATGCTCCTCTATCCCCCCAGTCAGGAAGCCAAGGTCCAAGAATGAAAATGAGGTCCAAAGAGGAAATGAAAGGAGAAGCAGAGGAAAGTAAGTCACCTGCTCTATTGGCCACAGTGGCAGGAGGAGGGAGGGACAAGACAGAATGTAAGAGAAATCAGAAACAACCAAAATCCCCTTGGAAATTAAATAAAATAAAGGGGGGGACAGATCTACCTATGCAAAACAAAATATGAGAGGCACTAAGGTAAAGTAGGAACAGAAGAGTCAATAAAGACTAAATCTACACAGCTGGGGATGTAGCTCAGTGGTAGTGTTTACCCTGGGTTTGACCTCAGCACCGGGAGAAGAGGAGATGTTAATGTCGACATCTAGCAAACGAGAAAGAAGTCAACAGTAACAGGGATTGTGGCCAGTTTGAAGAATGAGGCCCTAAGAGAAAAGACAATGCCAACCGTAAAATGAGTGTACATCCAGGAGTGCCAAGGAATTATCTGCTGACACTGTCCTTCCTAATTCAGGGATCAAAGGTCCTGTGCTTGGGAATAGCAGTCACAGTGTCTGATATTTATTTAGGGCAAGCGACCAGCATGATCTCACAGAGCACAAACCCTCAGTCTCCAGCCACAGTAAGTAAAGCCACTCACCCAGTCAGAACGGGTATGTCCCACCGTGTGCCCTACCCTGACAGAGAACCCCAGATTCACCAACTACTCCCTCCCCTCTGAATTTTTTACGAGGGGATCTCCACTTCCCAGCCCTAAGTTGATGCAGGTCCTCAAACCCTTCCTAGCCACAAGGGTGCCCTGAGACACAGACTGGAAAGAGGCTCCCTGCACCTAAGCTAGGCAGGTGCCAAGAGTCATTTCTTCATCCTTACTCCTTCCCTCCTTCCTCTATTACGGACGTGGGCATTCTCCCTCGGTGAGAGTTTCCTTGCCTCATGGGTGCGCTGGGTGCTATGGGCCCTCACTGCCCCTCCTTGCCATTGGAGCATGTTGCTAAGAAACACATCTGGGGGAAGGAAAAAAAAAAGATCAAGCCCTTGTGAACTGGTAGAAATCTTCAGAGGTGAACTGAGGCCTCTCGTGGCTCTATCCCCGCCCGTCCTCTGGTTCTAGTGCACTGAGTCTGGACCACAGACTCTGGGGGAAGCAAATTCCTTAAGTGATCATGGGCTTGCTCTCCCAGACTCCCCAAAATCACCCCTTGCTTCATCCTTCAGCCAAATCATCAGGCCTTAAATCCACTTTGCATTTTCATGGAGTGGTAACTCTTCTTTTGCTTCCCCAGGTCTGGGCCCCTCTGACAACTCTCCTAACAAGGTAAGCACAACCAGTTTCACTGGCTTGTTTTCCCACGGAAATGTTCCTGGAGAGAATGGATCCTTCTTGAAGACCCAAATGTGAGATCAAATGTGGGTCTAAGTTCTTCAAGGCAGCCACAAAAAAGTATCAATTTATCACTTCCATGAGTCTACCTCATCGCCAGAATGTGTACTTTGGAATTACCTGCAGCCTCTGTGTAAACCTGGCTGTGACTACTAATAGCTCTATGATCCTTTAACTCATAATATAAGCTCTTTGATCTTCAGTTTTGTTCAAGAGGAAGTGAAGGTGATCACATGAGTTAACATGTAAAGCACCCAGTACAATACCCAAAACAAAGAACTCACTACATCTTCCTCCTTTATCGACCTTCACTCTGACCCGCTCTTACTGTTAAAGGATAATTTCTACTCTAATGGATCCGGGGTCCTTGTTCCTTTATTTTTATAGAATTTTTTTCATCTTAACGTTTCAGTGGAGTACACATATATACTAAAAGTCGCGTGTATCATCAGTATACTTTTACAGTGTGTGAACTTTCACAAGCTGAACACACCCCTGAAAACAGCACCTCAGTCAAGACACTGCATGTCTGTCCCCACCAAAAAAACCTTTCCAGTCACTTCCCTACAAGTCACAGTTACTGTCCTAACAGCACATCCTTATATGCACCGGTCTTCTTTGAACGTTGTTTTGTGGATATGTTTGTGATTGGTTCATTCGCGTTGCTGTGTTATTATATTCCATCATATCACACCATCACCATAATCTGTCTCTTGTAAGGATCGCTCATCAACATGTTAGCAAGCAGAGGAGAAGCCCTTTCCAAAGCTAAAAGTTTCAAAGAGGTAACAGCATAGTGGCGGTGAGTCATACCAGCCACAGTGAAGCTCTGGCTTGTGTCCGTAATTTAATGGATGGATACTTGTACTTCACAGGTGGATGAAATTGCATATTCTTCCCTGAACTTCAGTGCTCTGCAACCAAAGCCATTAACTTCCGACTCCCCATCCCCCACAATCACAGAAACAGTTTATTCCGAGGTAAAAAAGAAGTAATGGGACCTGTCCTGCCACGGAGCTGCTGATGGACTCCACATCTCTCACCGCATCCCTAGGCGACTTCTTTACACTCAGAAGAAAAGGAAAAAAGTCCCTCTGCCCTCTGTCCTCCCTAATATAGCGCCTCCCTCCAGTGTCAATAAATGAAAAGGTACATCTGGGAGTCTGTAGGAAACCCAACCTTCCTTGTCACTGAAAGTTGGCAAAGGCATTCTTGGGAGAGAGTTGCCAGAACCTCCCTGCCACTCCCATTTTCCCAGCCTAGATTTGTTTTAAAGTTATTTATTCAGAGCATACTCATTTCTTCCTATCCCAGTCCTGTCCTATCAGAGTGTAGCTTGAATTTGCTACAACCTTGAGGGTTATTTCCTTTTCCACTTAAGTGCATATGCCAGGAGAGAGAGAGAGAGAGAGAGAGAGAGAGAGAGAGAGAGAGATCAATAATGTCTTCTACTTTCTCTCCAAACCCTGATGTGAAACCCACCATATCCAGGAAAAGCAAATATGTAAATATGCACTGGGGGTTGCTGTACTTTTGTCCACTGTCGGATCAGGGTCTAAACATCTTGCTGCTTAGCTGGAGTACCGCCTAAGCCCTCCGGCCAGCCTGTCTCCAGAGAATCTACCAGAAACAACTAGGGGAGCGATTTGCCAAGGTCCACAGGTGATTCCCAATGGGAGATGTAACAGTGCACGTACATGGTTAGTGCCTGCGTGGGCTTTATTCAAGGAAGTGCCTGGAAAAAGAGACTACAGCTTCATGGGAGAACTCAACGTTGAATAGATGCAATCTGCTGGGAGCTTGGGAAAAGAGTTATTCTTCATCGGTCATTTAAAATTGTTAAAGAACGCAGGACTGGAGGCACATGGTTTCTCCCCTTTGCTGAGACATTCCACCATTTTCATTTTTGTAACTGCTCACTTCTGTGAAAAGGGTTAATTTTACTTCGCTACGTAAGTTGGCCTGACTGCTTTGATATAAGAGGCCACTGGTACCGGGGATCAAACTTGGGTCCTTGCGCTTGTGAGGCAGGCGGTGGAACTACTGAGCTAAATCCCCGGATCTCTCAAGGCTTTTTTTTTGTCAAAAGCTTCACATAAAAAAATAAGAGACTTTCCTCATTCGTTTAAAAAGTGGGCCAGGCTCAGTTTCTAGCTGTATCAGACCAGTCACCAGGTGCCCTTCGGTTCCATATTTCTGCCTATGCACGCCTCCCAGTACGGGGGATCAAACCCAGGACTTTGCTGAGCTAAATCCCCGGATCTCTCAAGGCTTTTTTTTTTTTTTTTGTCAAAAGCTTCACATAAAAAAATAAGAGACTTTCCTCATTCGTTTAAGAAGTGGGCCAGGCTCAGTTTCTAGCTGTATCAGACCAGTCATCAGCTGCCCTTCTGTTCCATATTTCTGCCTATGCACGCCTCCCAGTACAGGGGATCAAACCCAGGACTTCGTTCTTGTGAGGCAGGTGTGTGGCACCCCTGAGCTAAATCCCCAGCCCTGCGTGTATATTTTTTACCTGTCTTCCCTGGTGTCTCAGGAAACCTTGGCCTCTGCGAGGGTGTGCTTGATCTTTGCAAAGTGGCAGCACCCTAAAGGAAGCAAAAGACTCCTGCTGATGTCTCTGTTTACAACCTTAGAACTTGCACTGGTGCTGTCATTGCCCCTTAGGAATACGGGCAGCAAAAGGGGGTGAGGACATGAGGATTACCCCACCCCGGGTTTTCAGATCAGCCTCTGAAACTTCCCTTTTCTCCCATGGGGGTCTATGAGTGCTGATGTGACTTAGAATAAAAAATGACAAGAGAAAGAAAGGCAAGTGTACTTCTCACACAGCCTTTTGCTACACGGGTGAAGTGTCTTTGGGGCTGTAAAGAGAAAGATTTTATTTGATATTCACTGATTGATCGCATGCTATGCCTAACAAGCCTCCTCTAAGAGAATTCACTGGGAGTTCTCCTACTCAGGTACCTCTTCCAGGGATCTCCAGCCCTGACACAGACTGTATGTATTTTCCCTCATCCATGCTACGCTGGGTTATTTAATTTTTCCTGGCTAAAGCCACTTCTGATTATTTGTAAAATTTGCTCTATATTTATAATAAAAATTATATATCAGATATCAATCTGCTGATTCACGTTAATACTGCTTTAGATGGTATCTTCCTTACAGGTGAAAGAATAAAAATTGCTCCACAGGAAGTCAAAGTAAGCCTATTTTGAAATCTCCTGGTATTGATCTAGAGATCAGAACATTAGCTAAACTCCTTCACACATCTGCTAACAAAGTGAGTACATCTGGGAGCAAGAAGCTGGGCACCAGCGTCCTGGAAGAGACTACTTATCTCCCTGTGGGAGAGAAGGTGATTTCAGGAGCGAAGACTTCTGGGGCGGGGATTTAGCTTAGTGGTGCTGTGTCTGCCTTGCTAAGTGCAAGGTCGTGAGTTTGATCCCCACTACTGAAAAAAAAAAAAAGAGTAAAAGATTTCCTTGCCTCTTCGTTAGGGGCAAAACACTTCCCTTACAGGTGATTCCAGCATGCTTAGTGGTGCTGTGTCTGCCTTGCTAAGTGCAAGGTCGTGAGTTTGATCCCCACTACTGAAACAAAAAAGAGTAAAAGATTTCCTTGCCTCTTCGTTAGGGGCAAAACACTTCCCATACATGTGATTCCAGCGTACTGAAAAAAAAAAAAAGAGTAAAAGATTTCCTTGCCTCTTCGTTAGGGGCAAAACACTTCCCTTACAGGTGATTCCAGCAAAGCAGCGGTAGCTCTACTACTGTCCCTCACAAGCATCTCCGCAGATTGTCACAGAATCTCTAGCACCGTGCACGTCTTCCTTGTTACCAGTTCCTTTTTCTGCCTTCTTAATGAACCTGAATAACTTCCATTTATTAATTCCACTAATTATTAACCTATTACCTCATTTTCTTCTCTTGCAAGCAACTGAAATGTAGGTTCCATCTCTTCCTTATCTCCTTTTTCTCCACTGGAAGTAGCACAAAATAGGTCTTCATCTCTTGGCCAAATCCAGAGGTATTTTCATGCTTTTCCATCATCTCAGCCCACAGGTAACTTTTCTCTCTGGGGCATTCTCCCTGCGTGCTAAGTATTCCTCCCTTACACCAGAGCTAGTCCCCAGGCCCTCCCTGTTTCCCTCCACCCTACCCTCTCCTCAGTTTCAAAGACCTCTCTCCAGTTGGCTACTTCATCTGCATTTTATCTCCTCCTACTTCCCAGAACCCCTGGTCCCACATCCAAATATAGTCTAAACTACTCCTTCTTTAAATCAGCTTCCCCCTCAGCGCACTCATTTCTCTGGGTGACTCCCCCAAAGTGTCCCAGCCCCTGCTCTGTTGTTCCCAGATTCAACACAGTCTTTCATCAGACCCTGTTGATTCTACCATCTCTCTTATGCTGTACTCTCCATTCCCACAAACCTAACTACACCAGACCTTCAATAACTGCGCGAAATACTTGGCTTCTTTTGCCAGTGTCTGTACAGAAATCGTCTCTGCACACTGCTGCCTCAATACCTACCTAAAAACTAGCTCACTCTCCTACAAAAGAATCGACTGGGGCCTCTGAGTTCAAGTTTCTTCTTTTCACTCTTCTTTCCTACTTCCTTCACTAGCACTCTAGTGTAATTTCTCCATTTTAGTTAGCTCCGTCTCCTACAAATCCCTACCACGCCTAACAATTCATACTGTTATAGATTGATCAAAAATGGTGGTGGCAAACCTATATATAGCACACATGTTGTTTTTCTTTAAGACAAAAGATATTAATGGTTCCACTGCCTGCCTTGCAAGAGCAAGGTCACGGGTTCAATCCCCGGTATCAGACAAACAAAGATGTTAATATACGAGTTTTTTCCAAACTAAAACATCATCCATTGAGC